TATTAAATAAATAGGGTGGGTGACTTTCACCCTGTGGGCTGCATGTGGTCCTTAAGATCCCACATTTTTGGCCAAGTTCCTTCACCAGTGCCCCACAGCCCGCCACCTCACATGTTTTTCAGCATGATTTTGGCCCCCAAACAATGCAAAAAGCTCCTCAAATGAGTGGTAAATTGCAAAACTAACCCCACTCCATCCCCACAAGCACCCCAGAACCCTATAGTATCCCTATATACTTTCTTTTTATTTCTGCAGGCTCTCTCAAAATGGTGACAGGAAGTGATGCAGTGGGGCTGAAGGAAAATTGGCACCAGGTTTCCACCCAGCTGCCCACTTCTGATTCAGGATTTCAGTTTCAGAATATAGGCAGGGTTGAGAAATTTACCATGGGATGCTGATCCCTATTGCAGAATTAACATACAGGCTAGCTGCCTGTTATTTGGGGCTCTGAATACCCAGGGATAAAGGCAGCATTCATCCCACTAACTGTTTCAGAGCAATCTTACTTTAAATTCTGTTAGTTGTATGAACAACAAATTGAGGAGCTTTGTTTCCTTTACTTTGCTCCCTCAGTAGGAATAAGAGGAGACTGCCATATCTACTCATCATCCTGTTTCCTCATCATACTCCCCATTGTACTCCCCACATTGTCTTTGACTGCAGCAGAAAGACACCATGTGCCATTTCTTTTATCACAAGAATATGTGCATGGATCTAGTAGTGATGGATGCCTGGTAGTTCATTAATAGATGATCAGAACTCTTATGGGAGGTCCCTTAGTTTCTCATTGACACAATACTCTTCTTTCTTTTTGTAGACTCTCCCTAAAACCACACAATTTTAAACCTCACAGCTCACCTCACCATGCATTTTGTAATGTGTTTTTATCTCTTTGTCGTTACACGGATCAATGTTCTCAGCTACCTGAGTGTAATTTGGATGCACAATCCAAGTTATTTCACTTCCTGAGTTCCATACAGAAAATCAATATTTTTATACAGAAGATCCATGAAAGGATTGCACTACACTCCATAGGCTTTGTAACAGACAAAAGATTGGAGATCATCAGATCATAGAATTGTAGAGCTGTTAGGAAATTTCAAAGATACAGGGCTGCCTGATTTTCCTACAGTTAAAAAAAGGGTCAAATGTCTTCTGACAGTTTGGCCAATTTTTTTTCCACGGATAGTTTTGATGGTGTCTAAACACAAAGTTCAGTCACATTAGATTCTGGATCTAAGGATTCATATTTGAACTAGGATCTCTAATATTTGGCCATTGGATGATGCCACGTCCAGCCAATTATGAGCAGGATTGTTAGATCAGGGTAGAGCCTGAACATTGGTAGAATCTTAATTTTGTGGGATTTTCATACCTCTAAAAAAGCATTATTTTATTGATCCTGCCATTAAAAAACAAAGAGAGTAGTGTCCGTGGTGTCCAAGGTTTGAAAGCAGACTGACAAATAAGGGGATCGTTTTTATATGTCTGAGTGATCCTTAAAGTATATAGAAACAGATTTTGTTTGGAACCCCCCCCCCTCGTTTCATTTCCCTATCAAGGGGGTAGAGGAGAACTGCACACAATGGTATTTCAGCTACCAGACAGCCCTCCACCATCATAGCCAGTGATCATGCCAGATGGGGAATTCTGGGAGTGGTGGTCCAAAAAAAAAAAAAAAAAAAGGTAACATTTCCATACACTTTCTACACTGTGAAGTTTTTATCTTTCAACCCCCTCATTTCTGAGTGCCTTCAGAAAATGGAAGAGAAGAGGCAGAAGTATAATGGTCCAGCCAGGCAGGTGGCCAAAGAAGGGGAGGGGCACCTCTATGACTGAATTTGGCTGCAAGTAGGTAAGGTTCCAACCTTCCTCTTGGCTCAGAAGAGTGACAGTGGTAGGAGATGATGATGATACAATGTTTATTTATAATGTATATATTATTTGTAAGTCAGGTGGTGAGGATGTAACAAGGAATACTTTTAAACATCCTGGACAGCAACAACAGTGCTGATAGATAATGGCTATGCTCAGCTCCTAAGCTGTATAGTGACCTTCTTTGAGGATGTTGAGTATGCCACCTTTTCCAGAGATCCAGCACAACATTTTGTTGAGAGTTCAACTTCTCAATTAGTGACCCAAGTGTCAGAATGTTCACAGGACTTTGTCTTGATGCTCAGATAGAATATCCTCTGTAGATTACAGTGGTCATGGGTATGTAGAAATAAGCTACTAGCTGGTCAGGTGTGCCACAGGAAGAGGAGGAAAGAAAAAAATAGAGTGTATACATTCATAAGAATGTGAATACTCCCAACCTGCAGGTATTTGTACTGCATAGGCAGATCACAAGGGCCGGGTTTGCTTACCATTTGCAATATTTGGGCATATTTGGCACTGCCTTGTTCACACTTGGGAACAATGTGTAAAATGTAAAATGCCTGAATGGGGTTTTATGCCAATAAATTCATTGTGCAGATTACAGTCTTATTTGGGAGATATGCAGCAAAGGGTTGCTCAGTGTTAACATGGCTGTCCAATAGAGAAAACAGTTATTAGGGAAAAATACTTTCTGAAATCTAATGTCTCAGTTTACTACCACCACTCTTTTACTTCTACTGTATCATTCTAGAGAGAGAGAGAGACATCTAGGGACATTAAGATCTTGAAGTTGACTCTCATCAACATCTTTACAGGGAAGCATCCTAAGTTGTGGTGGTTAGCTATAATAGAAGGCAACAGTCTATACTTTAAACAGTTGTTCATGGAATGTGGCAAGTGGTGGTTTATCTTTGTCCTTGCAATCAGAAGCCTGTTTGTATCTTACATATATGCTTTCACCTATGAAACAGCTGGTCAGTTTGGTCTGATGCACAGTGTCTACATTCGGTATAGTGTTGCTGAAGTGGAGCTGTATGTGCAGTGCTATTGTGGATGCATGTTCTTGGCTGATGCATCTCAGTCTACCCTTGCTGAAGTCAACAGTAGTATTCCTACAGTAGTACATTGAATTGTGCTTTGGGAAGTACAGTATTGCCATTCCACCCAAGGGTTGCATACCATAAACAGTGCACAAGACTATATGAGGAGATATAGGTCTTGCAAGCACAATTTATGTTTTTGGCCAGTGTGACACAAAAGTTATTTTGTGCTATTTTTTCCCCATTTGTCTGCTAAAATGTTAGAGAACCAGAGCTCTGTGGCGAGCTCCATCTGTACACCTGATCAAACTGCACTCTGGCTTATCAAAAATTAGCAGGATTCAACATGTGCTTCAGGAATCAACATTGGCTGGTATTGAGTATTGCAGTTATGGATTTGTCACCTAGACCTGGAACAGATGGGCAAAAAGAAGTGGCTTCTGGCTGCTTTTGAGGTTTGGTGTTCAAATTATGCATGCTTCTGATGCTGTGCTCTGGTCCTTTGGACCAAAGCAAAAAAATGGTGGGATACTCCAGCTCTTGGTGGTGCGAATGGGGCTGGCCTGCTTTTGAAGCAGTCAGTAAGATTGGTGGAGTTCCAATCTGCTTTCAGCTGGAGTGGACTCAGGCTGCTCCTTCCTGCCCATCTGCTGTGGCTCCTAGTTACAGATCCATAACATCTGTATTTAATTAGACTGTGTAATGTTACTGTAAACCTCACCCCAGTCCACCTTAAGAGCCAGCCACTGGATTGGGAAAGGAGTGTGCTCAGCCTCTAATCAGGGTGCAAAGAGAACCTTGTGTCTAACCTCCTGCCACAAAACAAGTCTACAACCACCAGAGCCTCCTTTGCCTGATCTGGTGGCTAGCTCTTAAAGTGGACTGGGGATTGGGTCAGGCCAGGAGATGCTCCTTAGTTATACATATGTAACTAAAAAGCCAATGTACTATTCCAGTGATTCATCTTAAGTATGATTAGTAGTTACTACTAATTAGTTTCTGACTCATGGTGTCCCAAAGAAGAATCTATCATGGGAGTTTCTTAGCAAGATTTGTTCAGAGGAGGTTTGCCTTTGCCTTTCTTTGAGGCTGAGACAGTGTGTCTTGCCTAAGATCATCCAGTGGGTTTCCATGGTTGAGCAAGGATTCAAACCCTGCTCCAGAATCATACACCAGTGCTCAAACTATAACATCACATTGGCTCTCCTGGAACTATAATTAGTTTGAAAAGCCACTTTCCAAATTCTAAGCCAGGATAAAACCATAATTTACGAACCTGACATGTTTTCACTAAGCACAGCCAAATTGCCTTAACAAAGGATTAAACTACATGTTATGTTAAATGCGTAACATGCAGCTGAAAGTTATTTTCTTTTTTTACTTTCAATTATATGGGAGCCCAATCCAGATTCAAATCCCCCCTCATTTTTAAATCTAAACTGGGAGGCAAAGGGAGAAAATTCCACTGAGATTTTTTTGCTCAATGAGAAGAATGAAGGAATTCTGCAGTTTCTGTTATGTATGATGGAATGAGCCTACAATAAAAAGAAGCAACATCCTATCATTTCTTTCCTCATTGTGTTCCTTTCTAACCCAGAAAATTAAATATCTGAAAAAGTTCAAATGATTCCAGGAAAGATACAGCCCAGGAAAGATACAATAAGGATACAAAGTATAATTGGAAATATATTGCATGGAGATTACATTTTAAGAAATGATATGGGTGAAATGAAACAAACCCACAATAAGGCCTAGAGAGTACAATACAGTGGGTTTGTAATGAATCTAGATGAAGGAAATTAAATCTCCAGTAAACAGGAGAGCACAAAATCTACCACAATTCTGTAAATGTTTCAGTGTACAGTAAAATGCTGAAAATAAAGATTAACAGCACAATATTATCTATATTTACTTAAAATGTAGTCCCACTACACTCATTGGGTTTTATTCCTGGGTAAGAATACGTAGCACTGTAGCCCATATGAGCTAAAATAATCTAGCAGTGTTTCAGATTGGTTCTGAAGAAGTTATTGTTGTGTGTCTTCGAGTGTGACTTGCCCAAGGTTACCTAGTGGGTTTCCATGGCCAAGTGGGGTTTCAAACCCTTGACTCCAGAGTTGTAGTCCAGTGCTCAAACCATTACACCACACTGTCTTGTAGTTCTGCATAAGTAGAATTCAAAGATATAGCTGTGTTAGTCTGTAGAATCAGTATGTAGAGAGATCTTGCAGCACCTTTGAGACTAACTGAAAGAGAGAAATTGGCAGCATGAGCTTTTGTAGACTGAAGTTTACAAAAGCTCATGCTGCCAATTTCTCTCTTTCAGTTAGTCTCAAAGGTTCTGCAAAAGGAGATTGCTTGAATCATCATAAAGTTTGCAAATATTTTTTTTTATTTTATTTACAGTAAATGCTAAATAAGTCGACACCTGCACAAATCCTGTTGAGTCCATTCTAGCTGGGACTAGTAATTAATTTAGGCCTTGGTTATGTACAAATTAATCATGGTATTTTTGCTTCCAGGAAGAGGGGAGGGCACTTGAGAGATTTTCTGCTTCAGCTGCTAAAATGATTTGGTTGACCTATAGCCCTATTTACCCTGATTATGCAAAAGTGAGGGGCAGTGAAAAAAAAATACATTTTCTTATTTATTTATTTATTTATTTAGTGGAGGACTGAATTGCAGAAATCAGGAAGCATGAAAATTGAAGGATAACTGCTCTCTAAAGCACGTACTAATCTGGGAAGTGTGAATCAATTGGCTGTCCTAAAAATGTGGGCCTAATGTAATCCTGAAGTAATGTTAACTTGTTAATTGCAACAGAGGCTGAAGGAGGACAGAGAATCAGTACGGAAAAGTCTTGGTTTAAAGCAGGGATCATTATGAGCAAAAGGATGAAAAAATTCCACAACTGTGTAAAGGTCACGTCTAAATTTGCCAGCATTTTGAGCTACCAGGACTGTAAAAACGAAAGGAGAAAAATAAATTCTTGGCTATTGAAGAGCTTTACTACTTTTGAGGTTAGCACTGTGACTTTATTTAAGGCATGTAGGGAGGAAAACTCAATATAGAGTTGTTCCCACTGAGTACATGCAGATTCCTTTTGAAGGCAGGTACTAGGTGAAAGCATCTAAGGGACAGGCTAGAACTCTCCGATTTCAAGCCAAAATAACTTACATTGTAACAGTGGAATTGTTTCTAGTATACATGGCTAGTTTCTAGAATGTATTGAACTTTGTATAGACAAGGGAACACTGAGGCTGCATCTACACTGCAGAAATAATCCAGGTTGACACCACTAACTGTCATGGTTTCAATGCTGTGGAATCCTGGGAATTATAGTTTTGTGAGATATTTAGCCTTCTCTGTCAAAGTGCTCTGGTGCCACAACAAACTACAAATCCCAGGAATCCATATCATTGAGCCATGGCAATTAAGGTGATGTCAACCTGGATTATTTCTGCAGTGTGGATGCAGCTTGAGTTTGTGCACACAGCTGACCAAAGTTGTTCACTTCAGCAACAAATTCCTCATACCAGGCCTGTTGTGAGCTGGTCTTTATGTTTCACTTGCCAGGGAGATTGGCATCCCTTTGGGAAATTTCTTAGTTGGTAGAGAAAATTTCTTATCATCGCATGAGATGTTGCCAATATGTAGTGAGTTGCTTCCTGTCCCAGCTGGCAAACACAGTTGACAAAAATAATCATTCTTCAGAATATACATTATGTTCCAATAGGAAAAAAATATTGGAAATCTACAAGCAAGCAGGTCACTCACCCCATTTCATCTAGTCTCAGTGTCACAGTGTCCTATTAAGTCTTGTGATTTGTGCACTGCTGTATATTTCAAGTTAGTCATTACATCTCACAGCTTCTCATATGACAAGTTGAATGATGCCACCTCCTCCACTCCCTGAAAAGTCACTGCTTCATTAGAGGCTTCAGGTCATTAAACAGCTGGTCTTTTTATAATTGGTGTTTTTGTGGATATAGTGAGAATTTGATCTTTAATTAACAACAGTGTATGCTTTTATTTTGCTTTTTGACAAGAAGTTGTTTTGGCCTGTTTGTGAATCTTAGAGATGTAAATTCTTATTTGGTTCACCTCACTGCATAAATGAGAAAATCCCACCCCCATTACCCTTACCTTGAAGTGACAGACTTTTCTTTTCTTTTTGATGGTCATGCTATTGGAGGGATTTTATGCATTGTTAAGACTGGTATTTGCATATTTCTGTAAAATACACAAAAATAATAATGCGATCATTGTTACTTCATTTTACAAGTAGTAAAAATAGGGGCTGAGTGACTTATTTTTTTGTGTGTGTAGCCTACCATTTTGCACTGTGTGCGCATGCGCATCATACACAGACATGTGCATTTGCTTGGCTTAAAAAAGACAAGACTAATTTTAAAAAAGACTAATTTTATGCAAACAAGAATTTTGAGCAATGGATATTTTGCAAAAATTTCAGAAATTGCTACCACAACAAAAACCTCACCTGATTCAAATTCTCCACTTCATGTTGGATGCAAGATCTGTTGAAGGGGTTGGACAATAATCAAGATACTTTATGCACAGCCATCCAGTCTTGCCTAGAATCTCCACAATGATGAGATTTCTTTACATTCCTAGTCAAACCACATTTTATATCAAGTAAACTCTCTAAAAGTCTGTTTGTTACTAGCCTTTTTTCTTTAGCAAAAGGAGTCAGAATTGCAACCAAGAAATGGGATGGTAGGGAGAGAAAAGTTTAGCCCCTTTCCCTATAACATTTTCCTGTGCCAAATTATAGCAGTTTGCTGCCAAAGTGTCACAGGAAGAACATTTCACCATATCTGCAATGTTAAATATTCCCAGTTCCTTGAATTTCTGCATAAAAGGTCAAAGGTTTCAATTTACTGTACAGATTCAGTCTACTCTATATATCACTATGCAACTCTGATCTTATCTGACCTTGTCAGATTTTGGAAGCTAAGCAAGGTCAGACTCAGTGAGTAGATGAATGGAAAACCACCAGGGAATACCAAATATCTCCAAGTATGTCTAGAAAAGAATCCTGAGTTAATAAAGGTCTAGATGGACCAATGATCTGGCTAAATATAAGGCAGCTTCCTAAGTCCAGTTTGTTATGTTAAACTGGATAAAGGTTGGTAATAATTTTCCTTTGAAATAGAAACTCTTAAAGGCTAAGCCACATAACTACTTTTAAAAACATTGACACTGATGTTAGACACTTGGTAAAATTCATTATGCTATACAGGCCATGTGTAGGCTTCAGCTCATAGGACTACTCTATAGTTAAAGAAGATACACATTCTATTTTTCAAAGCCTTTTTAAACATGAGAAACTGCAACTTAGACATGTGTTAAAGTCTTCATAATCCAACTTGAGAAAAAGGCAACAAGCCTGTTTCAGCTCTGATTTTTAAAAAATGACTTTTTGAAAATCATCCTGGTAGAATTCAAAGACATAGCTGTTTTAGTTTGGAATATGCAGTGGTACCTTGTAGCACCTTTGAGACTAACCAGAACAAAGAAATAGTAGCATAAGCTTCCATAGGGGGGTTGCAGACTGCCAGAAATAGTGCAAATTGAGTCCACTTTAAGGGTTAGGGTTAGGGCTAGGGAATCATGGGAACTGTAGTTTGTTGTGGCACCAGAGCTCTCTGACAGAGAAGGCTTAATGTCTCAGAAAAAAAAATTCCCATGATTCCCTAGCACTAACCCTAACCCTTAAAGTGGACTCAATTTGCACCATTTCTGGCAGTCTGTAAAGGCCCATAGACTTGGTCTGTTTCTCAATACATCTGCATCTTAAGGAGATTTAGGGCTGGGACAGATGACCCCAAACAAGCAGTTTGAAGCCTCCCCCTCCGAAGATGGATTGAGGCTGTGGCAAAGACATGCTGTGCCCCCAAGCTGCCTTGAACCTGGCCCAAATAGGAGCAGAAAAGATTTGCTCCTATTTGGGCTGGAAAAGAGCCAGCTTTCCCAGCCCTGCTGCAGCCACATCCTTATCACTGTTCTGAATCAGATTCAGCTTTCTTTACATATTGTTAAATAATAATAATAATAATAATAATAATAATAATAATAATAATAATAATAATAAACAACTTTATTTGTATCCTGCCTCTCTGTCAAACATTTGAGGCAGCTTACAGCAGTTAAAATTCCATACAAACCTTCCCACCCCTTAAAAAGAAATTAAACCAATATCAACATTAAAACCTATTAATTAAAACATCAAAGCATCACTCCTTAAAAATAAACATAACAATAACAAGCCAAGTAGCAAATGCAGCCAAGGTGGGAGAGGAAGCGAAGAAGAGACTCCTGAGGCTGGGAAATCTAATCAGGGAAAGCCCGCCGGAAGAGATACGTGTTAACAGCCTTTTTAAAACTGCTTAAGGTTTTAATCTGACGGATCTCATCCGGCAGGCCATTCCATAGTCTGGGAGCGGTCGCCGAAAAGGCCCTCTGGGAGGTTGCAAACACCCTTGTTTTTATCAGCTGCAGCAAATTACTCCCAGAGGACCGCAGTGCATGGGGTGGATTGTATGGGAGGAGATGGTCGCAAAGATAGGTTGGACCCAAGCCATTTAGGGCTTTAAAGGTAACAATCAACACCTTATGCTGGGCTTGGAACCTAATAGGCAGCCAGTGAAGAGACTTTAATACCAGTGTTATATGGTCTTTCCTTGATATTCCGGAAACCAATCTGGCTGCCATATTCTGTTCTAATTGCAGTTTCCAGGCCAAGCAAGAGGGTAGCTTCATGCAGAGTGCATTGCAGAAGTCAAGACGGGAGGTTACCAGTGTGTGTACAACAGTCTCGAGGTCCCTTACTTCCAGGAAAGGGTGCAGCTGGCATATCAGCCAAAGCTGATAACAGGCGCTCCTGACCGTCACATTCACCTGATTGGCCGTCTGGAGCGATGAGTCCAGGAGCACCCCCAGACTGCAAATACAGTCCTTCATGGAAAGTGTGACCCTGTTCAGGACTGGAGGATGTATCCCTATTCCTGGTTTTGGGGCCGCTACTGTGAGCACCTCCATTTTGTCTGGATTCAGCCTCAATCTGTTTTTCCTCATCCAGTCCATTACTGCCTTAAGAAAATTATTGCGAGGAGAGATGCCATTGGGAGCCG